GACTGGGGAGGGGGGCGGGGCGAGGCGGGGGAAGGGAGGGGGAGATGGGCGCAGGACGTGCGAGGAGGAGGGGAAGAGGAGGAGGACGCGGAGGACGAGGAGAAGGACGAGGAGAAGGACGAGATGCAGGAGGAGGAGGAGGAGGACGACGAGGAGGACGAGGACGAGGACGAAGAGGAGGAGCAGCAGCAGCGGCATGAGGCACGAGGGGGGCAGCCGCAGGAAACAGCGGAGGGGCGGGCGCCGTGCTCGGGCGCGGGGCACCGCCGCGCGATCGGGGTCTTCCCGTCGGGGCTGCCCGCCGCGGGAGTAGAGGCCTCCTGGAGGGGTCTCCGAGTCGATGGGGTCGAACGATCGCGCCGCATCGCCAGTGCATCGCCGATGCATCGGCGATGCATCGGCGACGTCGGCGACGCGTCCGCGACGTCGGCGTGGGGAAGATCGGGCTCCACATCGAGCCGCATCGTCGATGCACCGGCGAGGCGGCGCGATCCTCCGACCCCACCTGCTCGGACCCTGTGTGGGAGGCCTAGGGGGAGGGGGAGCGGAATCTGGGGCCCAGGTGTTGGCACCAACTGACTACCCACCAGACTACCCCAACCCAGCCCGAACCCGAGTTTCGGGTTGGGGGTGCGCTGTTCAATGCTGAGGGATGCCGCCCCCCCCCACACTGGGAATGGGTGGAGGGCAACTTGGGGCCTTCGGGTCGGGTTGGGGTGGTTCGGTGGGCGGCGCCCGACACCATCGCAGAGGGGGGGGCCTCCACGGGGGGAAGATGATCATGGATTCTGGTGCTGGTGGGAAAATCCCTCGACCACCTGAGAGGCCCAGCCGCTATAGCCAAGCGCGTTCCGCTACTTGCAAAGTCACTACTCGCAGATGGCCTGGATCCGCCGTGGGGGATTTCCTACAGATTACATCGAGGCGAACGTGGGTTTTGTTCCGACGTTTGCGAGTAGGCACTTTGCGAGTAGTGGAACGCGCTCGGCGACACCACCGCCACCGAGGTCGGAAGAGCTTCCCCTCGGTGGCCGCAACCGCCGATGCCGGTGCTGGTGTCGGCCTGTGGGCCTCCCGAAGGATGGCGCGCTCGGGCGCGGCCCCAAGCCATGCTCGGCGAGCGCCCGCTGCTTGCAGCAGGGAGCCGTCCCCTCGCCCCTCCTACTCCACCTCCTCGTGCGAGGCCCGGGCGGGGGAGGAGGAGGGGCGAATCGGGAGGGGAGGAGGAGGAGGAGGAGAGAGGAGGAGGAGGAGGAGGAGGAGGAGGAGGAGGAGGAGGAGGACGACGACAACGACGAGGAGAAGGAGGAAGAGGAGGAGGAGGAGGAGGACGGGGAGGGTGAGGAGGAGGAGGAGGAATAGGAGAAGGGGAAGGAGGAGTGGGACGGGGACAGGGACGGCGAGGACGGGGGCCAGGGCGGGAACCAGATGAAGCGCAAGGAGGATGAGCAGAAGCAGCAGGCAGGGCAGAAATATGAGAAGAATGAGGGGGAGAAGGGGGAGGAGGACATAGAGGAGAAAGAAGAGGAGGAAGAGGAGTAATTATGAGAAGGAGCAGCAGGAGAAGGAGGAAAAGGAGGATGGAGGACAGAGGAAGGAGAGGGCCAACGAGCAGCAAGAGGCGAGTGCTGATGTGTAGATCGATGGAGGAGAATGGGGAGTTGGGAGAGGAGGTGAAGGTGCGGGGAGAGGGAGAGGATGCGGGGTGGGGGGAAGGGACCCAGACATCCGCCGATCTGATGTTTGCAATCCCCGGGCCAAGCTCTTCGCCCAGGAAATCCATGTCTGATGGCAACGAGGCCCGAGAACGGGCCCTGAAGGCCCAAATGGAGGAAACACTGCGGGATTGACAGAATTGACAGTCGCTCGATGGGGGGGGGGCAGTAAGAAGGGGGGGGGGGGGGAGGTGCACACATCTCGGGCCCCACAGGCCTCCTCGGGGCACTGAAAAAAGGCCCCGTTTCTGCAGCCATCGCTGCCCTGTCACTTGCCCCCTCGGCGCCCAGAAGAACCAAGTCGTCGCAGTCCCCTCAGCGCCCAGAAGAACCAAGTCGTCGCAGATCCTGCTGAGATCGAGGAGAACCCGCAGCATCGACGACGCCTGAGTTCGTTTCTCCACGCGGCGACCCCAATCTCATCCTAGCATCCTGAAATACCTTTCGCGGACCAGGGGCCGAAACAGAGCGGGAGAAACCAGGCCCAGGGGAATGTCCCTCCCGAAATCGTCGAGGTCCCTGCTGAGGTCACGCGCGGAGGGGCGCCGCGGGAACGCCCCGGGCGTCCCGGCGCCGATGGGGAGCGGCAGGCCGAGGCGGGGAGGCTGTGCGAGCCGAAGGGGGGCAGCGCCAGGATGCCAGGCACAGGCGCAGCACGCGCGCCTCACTTCGCGGTCCGTGCTGCCCGAAGCGCGAAGCGCGAAGAGCCTCGCGCTCCCGCGCCGCCCACCCGGGGAGAGGCGAAGGCCGAGGAGGAATCGCGAGCCGAAGCGCGAGGCGCGAGGCGCGGAGCGCGCACGACTTCGCGCCCTCGAGGGCGGCCTTGACGCCTGCGCCGCTCCTGACAGAGGCCACCCTCGGGTGGCAGTTCCTGGGGGCCCTCGCGAGAGCGGTCGTGGAGCTCTCTTCAGCCCGACGTGGAGGTGGCCGTGAAGCGGGACTGGGTTGGATGAAGCCCAAGGTTGAGAGCCCATGCTAGATCGGGTCACATTCGAGTGTTGCTAGAAGTGCCCCTGGCCCGAGGTGCCCCCAGCTCCTCGCTCCATGTTGGAGCCCTTGGGGCCCTCCGGGCCTCGTGAGGAGTGCCCTGGAGGCCGTCTGGGCCACCCCGAAAATCCTGGGGGTACCTTGGGCCAGGGGTACTTCTAACAACACCCGATACACAAGATTGAGCGGGATTGGGCGGGACTGTGCCGGATCAGGCCGGCTTCCGTCCACGGGCAAGCCAGCGCCGGTGCCCAACTTCACATCCCAGAAGTTGCATCCTGATGAAAAGGGGGAAGGAAGGAGGGGGGAGTGAGGGGGAGGGAGGGAGGGCAGGAGGGAACGAGGAAGGAGAGAGGGTCAGGGAGAGGGAGAGGGAGAGGGAGAGGGGGAGCGGGAGGGGGAGAGGGAAAGCTGGGTGCGCTCACGTCACATTCGACATCCTATCCCTCCCTCCCATCGCTTCCCATTGCGCTCTTTTTTCTCTATCCACGGACGCATGACATAGCCGACCTGGAACAACACTACCCCTGCAAAGCGCCCTAATAGCCACAAAGGTGAACAGGTTGGAAACTGTGGGACTCGTGAGATTTGCACCTGCGGATCCTGTAGGACTTCGGTGGGACTCCTGTGGCCTATGGGACCTGTGGGACATTTGGGACCTGTGGGACCTGTGGGACCCGTGGGGCAGGTGAGAAGTGCGGACCTTTGGGACCTGCGGGGCTTGCGGGACATGTGCGACCTGGGGGACCTCTGTAGCCTGTGGGGCCTGTGAGACGTGCGACGCCTGTGGAAACTGTGGGGCCTGTGGGAACTGTACGTCCTGCTTGACATGCCAGACCTGTGGGGCCTGTTGGACCAGCGGGACCTGTGGGACCTGTGAGACCTGGGGGACTTCCGTGGGACCAGTGAAACCTGCAACACATGTGGGACCTGTGGGACCTGTGGGACCTGCGGGACCTTCCGGACTTGTGGAACCTGTGGGACCTGTAGGACCAATGAGACCTACGACACCTGAGGGGCATGTGGGACCTGTGAGACTTGTGGTGCCTGCGGAACCTGTGGGACCTCTGTGAGACCTCTTGGACGACCTGCGACACCTGGAGGTTATGTAGGGCCTGTGAGACATGTTGAGCCCGCGACACCTACGAGACCTCTGGGACCTTCGAGGCCTATGGGATCCCGAAAAGAGGCCACGATGGGACGAGAGCGCCATTTTGAACGACGGGAGCAAAGCGCCGATCCGAAAATGAAGCAACAATAACAAAAAACGAAACCAAACAGATTGAACAAGCAGTGGAAATAGCACCGTTCCGCATAACATCAGGGGAAAGAGGAATGTACTATTAATCCGCCGATACGGCGCGTGAGTGTGTGGCAGCGTGGACTTGAGATCGCTCAAGCTTCGCTCTGGAAGGGGGGTGGGAACGCCATTCCCGACGCATTTAAGGGGAGGGGGGATGCCATTCCCGACGCATTTAATGCTCGGGGCCGGGGGGCCCGCAGGCCCCCAGGAGGCCCCAGAAGGTCCCCAAGAGGCCCGAAAGAGGCCCCACAAGGCCCCAACACGACCCGCAAGAGGCTTCCCCAAGTCCCTTGCTCAATCCCCTGAGCCTCAGTCCTCAAGCCTGAGGATTATTGAGGCTCCCCGCGCGCCCTGGGGTGCCCTCAGAAAGTTCCTGCGGTACTCTCTCGACCCTAACAGAAGCCCAAGACGGGCCAACAAGGCCCCAAGAAGCCCTCAATACGGCCCAAGAATGCCCCGAATCGCCGAACGATCGGTCCAAGACGCCCGAGATGGCTCCATCGCCATCACCAGGATTAACAGCAGCATCATCATCAGCAGCATCATCATCATCATCACCATCATCATCGTCATTAGCATCATCGTCACCAACATCATCATCCAGAGCGCCCCGAACTGGTGGCACTGGCAGGAGGTCAGCACAATGTTGCGTAACTGCAGGGGGCGAGGGCGAGAGAGAGAGGGAAAATGAGATGTGTACATATATGAAAATCTATGTACATACACATAAACGTAATACATGCAGCTATACGGACAAACAGAGAGAAGAAAAAAGAAAGAGAGAGAGAGAGAGAGCAAGCAAGCAAGCAAGCAAACGAAAAAGGGACGAGGAGCAGGAGGAAGAGGGGGATGAGGAGGAGGGGGAGGAGGGGGATGGAGAGAGGAAAAGGAAAGGAGGACGAGGGAAAGAGGAGAGAAGGAGGAGGAAGAGGGGAGGGGAGGGAGGAAGAGGAGGAGGAGGAGACGAAGAAAATTAGAATCGATTCTTTCATTTTTTACCGATTCGGGCAAATCCACTGGACGCACACCCCTACCCACTGCATTGCTACAGCGCTCTACCCACGAACCCGGTCAACTCGCTGGCCGAGCGGGCCAAGGGCGTGCTAAGATGGTCAAGAATACTTCTAATTCGCGCGCGCGCGGGGCCGCCCCTTGGGTGCCCCGAACGAGGTCCCGGCCAGGTCCCAAACAGGTCCTGGCCAGGTCCCAGCAGGCTCCCAGGAGCGCTCCATGAGCGTTTCAAGGGGCCTCCAACAGAGAGCAACATGGTTCGAGACGGTCCAAGAGCGATCGAAGATGCCGAATACAGCCTCTAGACAGCTTGACGCGCCTTCGAGACGCCGCAAGAGAGATCCAAGAGACGCCCCAAGAAGGCCCACGGAGCCAGAAACGTATGATTGTCCTTACGGGTTTGAAGGTTGTTGGCGTTGTCGCCTTTTCGGCTTACCAGCGCTCCAAGACGGCCCAAGAGGCTTCCAGGATCGCCAAAACACAATCCAAGAGGTCTCCCAGAGCGCCCAAAACGGCTCCAGAGGGTCCCAAGACAGCCCCCAAGGCCCCCAAGATGGCCGAAAAGGCTCCCAGGACGGTTCCAAGATCGGGCCCAGACGGAGGCCCGAACGGACACTTCGAGCTTTAAAATAACACTTCCAGCGCCCACCCCAAAGCCAGCATCTCAGCCAGAAAAACATGAATTCAGCGTTCCAAGGCACTTCCCTGCCCTATGCAAGACTGTTCTACCTAATGAAAATGAATACCCGTAGATAACCATGCCTCCAGCTGCCAGGCCATTACCTCGCGAAGCACCGTCGACGCACATGCGCGACTTGATGCGGTTGGTGGTCGCCAGGCACACTTCCTCGTCGCAAGCCCGTTCCCAGTCGCTCTCCAAGTCCAGCGCGGCGTTCGCAGCGTGGCCCGCGACCGCGTTGTACCATCGCTCGCCCCATTCGATGAACGATGCTGCGTTCCGTCTCGATAGAACTCCAGCCCAGAACAATTCCAGTAATTGTCGGCCAATGCGAATGCCAACTGGGCGGGCATATTCACACTTCAAAAGAGGCGTCCAAAGAAAATGCCACTGAACAATGTACTGCCGACATAAATACATACACGCCGTGCTCCGCCATTCCAGGTATCTTCCTTGCTGTCGGCCAATTAAAGGACCGCTGGCCGCGTCCTTGCTGTTGGCTAAGCACAGGCCGCTTAGTTTTGGACACCAATTTTGCTTCAGCTACCAACCGAGACAACACTCATAACTGATGCAAACCGCGTCTGGTCTGTGCTTCTCTCAACTCAGTAGCCCCGGTATCTCCCATACATCTACAACATATTATACGATATAGGTACTTACGGTACAAAGCTGGTTAGTTCCTCACCTCGTCGGTCCACAGGGTCCGCAATCTAAGTTTTGGCCCTGGTCTCTTCAACCGTCTGGTGCATCACTGTCGTTGTAGTGTCTTCCCTTTGTCGCACCGCTTTGGGTGCTCGATCAATGTACTGTTGGGCAGCATCTCTGACTCCATTCTGAATCATCCCCAAATCTGCAGCCACATCCCGCGTCCTGGTACGTGCAATACCCGCTGATTATATGAACACTGCCGGCCCCGTCGCCCAGGACCCTGTCCCAGGGGTGCTTTCTGACTACAGTTTCGAGTCGAATCTGGCCCTGGCGACGAGGGCCTCCCAGAAGGCCCGAAAAAACGAAGACGAGGGAAGGGTAGCGCCAGAGGTACCTGTGACTCCTCTGGGGGCCACGGTGTCGAAGTCTGAGAGCTGCGAGTGTGGGGAGAGAGAAAGAGGAGGAGGAGGAGGAGGAGGAAAAGGAGGAAGAGGAGGAGGAGGAGGAAGAGGACCAGTGTTAACCCAAGAGTCATCAACGATGTTGGAATAAACCCTCCCTCCAAGCTCCCTCTTCTTAGGACCCTACAACTGTTCATTTCCATTGAAGGAACTGCCTCATTGAAAGACAAACGTTTGAAGACCCTGAAGCATACCAAAACATTTCTCCTGGGATTCCAACGCCACGGACCAACCGGACTGTTGCGTCTCGACGACCCTGAATCGTGCCATATAGTCCTTCCTGGGACTTCAACACAGCGAATCAAAGTAACTGTTGCAGCCGCATAATCCTGAATCCTTTCAACGCACCATTTCTAGTTAAGTGATGAAACTCTGGCAGATGTTATAAACGAATGTGCGCGGCGCTCAGGTGAGAGCCGCATTTTGAAAAAGAACCGCCCTCACTCCGTGAAGCTCTTGCAGATGTTTAAAAAGAATGTGCGTGGCGCTAAGGCGAGATCCACATGTTGAAAACGGATCGCCTTCAATCCGTGAAATGCCTGCAATTGTTTACAACGAATGTGCGCCGCGCTAAGGCGAGAGCCACATGTTGAAAGCGGCCCACCCTCAATCCGTCCACCAGTGAGAGGAGGAGAAGGAGGAGGAGGAGAAGGAGGCGGAGGAGGAAGAGAAGGAGGAAAGGAGGAGGCGGAGGACGACGACAAAGAGGAGTGACGACGACGCGGCCGGGGGGGAAGTGCGAAGGAGGAGGCATTCGCAGAAGGCGGCGGGCCCCCTCAGAAGTCTTCTGGCCTTCTGAGAAATCTTCTGTGCCCTCGGGGGAGGCTCAGGAAACTTCTGAGAAGGTTCAATACCTTCTGAACCTTCTGAGAAGGCCCGTCCTTTCAGGAAACTGCTCAGAAGACCAGAGGACTTCCGAGCCTTCTGAGAAAGCCCGCCGCCTCTCACTTCCCCCCCCCCACGCCGGAGTCGGGTGTGGCTAGAAGTGCCCCTGGCCCGAGGTGCCCCAGGACCTCCAGTATGGCCCCCACGGCCTCCAGAGAGCCCCTCACGAGGCCTGGAGGGCCACGGGGGCTCCGAGATGGAGGGACCAACTGGGGCTACCCGGGGCCAGGGGCCCCTTTTCGGCAACCCCCGACTGGGCCGGCCGCCGAGAGGGGGGGCGGGAGGGGCAGCCCGGCGCAACCAGAGCGGGCGACCGGCGAGCGCCGCGGGCGCGGGCATCCGGAGCCCCACGGGCACGAGCGCCGAGCCCGCGGAGGGCTCGAGCCAGCTTCAAATGAATCAAATTCCTGCCTCCTGGTGCTGCTTGGAGACGACTGGGGGGCAGCAGAAGCCAGATCTTCGACGTGATGCTGTTTCACAGCCCTCCTGCGATGGGCTCTCGGTTTGAGTAGAGCACCGAGCTCTCCAACCCTCCTCCTCATGCCCCTCTTGCTTCCTCTTGCCCCCTCCTCCTCCTCCTCCGCCTCCTCCTCCTCCTCCTCCTCCTGCTACTCCTCCTCCTCCTCCTGCTCCTGCTCCTGCTCCTGCTCCTCCTCCTCCTCCTCCTGCTCCTCCTCCTCCTCCTCCTCTCTTCTACTCCTCCTCCTCCTCCTCCTCCTCCTCCTCCCCCGCATCGCCCTCCTCCTCCTCCTCCTCCTGCTCCTCCTCCTCCTGTTCCTCCTCCTGCTCTTATTATTAGTAGTAGTATTATTAGTATCATTAATATCATTATTAGTATCATTATTAGTATTATTAGTATTATTAGTATTATTATTATTATTAGTATTATTATTATCATTATTATTATTATTATTATTATTGTTGTTAATATTGTTATTATTAGTATCAGTATTAGTATTAGTATCATTGTTAGGAGCATCACCAGTATTAGCATTAGTAGTATTAGTAGTATGATTATTATCCTTAGTCTTAGTTTTATTAGTATTAGTATTATTAATAATAGTAATATTAGTAGTATTATTATTGTAAATGTTGATTGCTAGTAGTATTAGTAATAGTATCATTCGTATCATTATTATTAGTCGTATTAGTATGATTATTAATACTACTACTATCATTAGTAGTATTGTGAGTATTGACAGTATTAGTGTTATTATGATGACTATTATTATTAGCATTGTTACTATTATTACTAATATTAGTATTACTACGATTCGTACTAGTATTCGTATTCGCATGCTTATTATTAGTAGTATCAGTTTATTAATATTATTATTGTTCTTATTAGTAGCAGTATGGTTAGCATTATTAATATTAGTAGTATTAGTAGTATGAGTAGTAGTAGTAGTAGTATTAGTATTAGTGATAATGGTATGATTCTTAGTAGTAATACTAGTAATATTATTAATGATACTATTATTATGAATAATAGTATTAGTGTTGTTATTATTGATATTATTACAGTGCGACCCTACCTAGGAGTTGGAGCATCTAGAAAGCAGCATCTACATCTACACCGACAGCTACATTAACATCTACACCTGCATCTACATCTACATCAACATCAACAGCGAGACTCACATCTACATATACATATGTGCTGCTATGCTATGCTATGCTATGCTATGCTATGCTGCGCTATGCTATGCTATGCTATGCTGCGCTATGCTGCGCTATGCTGCGCTAGGCTATGCTATGCTATGCTAGGGTACGCTCGGCTGCGCTGTGTTATGTTAGGCTATGATATGCTATGCTATGCTGCGCTATGCTATGGTATGATATGGTATGCTGCGCTATGCGATGCTATGCTATGCTATGCTGCGCTATACGATGCTATGCTAGGCTATGCTATGGTATGATATGCTGCGCTATGATATGCTATGCTATGCTATGCTATGCTATGCTGCGCTATGTTATGCTATGTCATGCTGCGCTATGCTATGAAATGCTATGCCATGCTGCGCTATGTTATGCTATGATATGCTAGGCTGCGCTATGATATGCTAAGCTAAGCTATGATATGCTATGCTATGTTATGCTGCGCTATGATATGCTATGATATGATATGGTATGCTATGATATGCTGCGCCATGTTATGCTGCACTATGCTATGATATGATATGATATGATATGCTATACCATGCTATGCTAATGCTGCGCTGCGCTGCGCTAAGCTAAGCTAAGCTGAGCTAGGCTATGCTAAGCTAAGCTAGGCTAGGCTACGCTAAGTTAAGCTAAGCTAAGCTAA